CCTTGAAATACTCTGATTTTGTTCTGTTTTTATAAATGGCCATCTCCTTGTAAAAAAAGCAAACCAAAGGTGAAGGCTTAATATCTCCCTGGGGCACCCTGGTTGCTGCTTACGTTGTTCTTTTGTCCCTTCTCAGTTGTTCTGTCCCTTGACTGAAAATGAAAGTTACATACATTCCAAATTAGTCCTGAATTTTACTTTGACTTGACTTCATCAGCTGTATTTGGGTGACTGTGGGATTACTGTATGTAAGGTTTCACATGAAATGGTAAACTGCAGCGGAATGCTTGCTCTAAACTCAAGTCATTCTCTGTGCCTAAAAAAGGGAAGCTGACAAGTTTTCAGCAATCCTGCTGCTCTTTGTTTATGTATGTAAAAAGTTCAGAAAGTAGAAGAGAGAACTAGAATGGCAGCTCTTAACAGGTTTCCCTCCCCCTTTTTGTGCCTTAAACTGATGTGATAGATCTTCTGTAATTGCTAAAAACCTATGCCCTACAGACTTTAGTTTTAACCAGGAAAAGGTTGTAGCTTGGAATTAGTTTTACAGCATATTTAAATATTTTGGGTTTTTACCTGACCTAAGGCAAAAGTATTTTATACTGGGATTTGCACTTGGCATCACAGACAGATATGTTAAAATGATGCTTTGTGTTTTTCTAAACAAAGGCTGTAAATGATATGCTTTCTCCATGTATGATATTTGTGGTTGTTAATGGTTTATTCTTGGAAGAGTCTTTGCATATGTTGAGTACTGAGAGATAGTGATGGAATGGTTTGCAAGGGCATGCATGCCTTCCTGTAATCTAATCTCAAAAGACGTGTTACTTTCACATGATGTGGTTTTTGAAGGCTGCTTCTGTATGGATGAGTCTGGCAAAGAACCTCTCTTACTAAAGCAAAGGGTGATAAATATTAATGACGTAGGGCATACAGCAAATACACTTTCAAAATGTTATTGGAAGATAAAAATCTTCTCTTGCATGTGTATTTTATGCAGTGTGTATGTAGTTTCCTACTAGTACATGCTAGTTTCTATAATCTGGAGAAAAGCTTTGCCTTTATTGCTCAAAAACTATTGGATAAGATTGCAAGTTTCCTAAAAGGTGTGTTTAGGTATAGGATATTTTACCAGTCTGTGGCTATAACCATGAAGCTGATTGTGGAACAGGTTTTGATAGCAGTGTTCCTGTTATTAAGGGTTTTTTTTTTTCTCTCACATACTCTAAGACACTTAAGATAATTTAAAGGATTTATTATTCCTTCGTCCGTGTCTGTCTCTATTTGGAGTTTTCTAGTAGCATGCAGGATTTTTGTGTATATCTGTATATAGTGCACTTGATTTTGTCGTGTGGGAGTCAGGAATATGTTATTCCCCCCATGCCTCCCTCCCATCTTATTATCATGACACTTGTTAAGTTTATTCCGCTTTATTAATAGGTCCTTGTAAAATTTTCACAGATTTGCCCAATAGATATGACTTTGGTTTAATCACCTGATTTTTTAATTTATTTTTTTATTTGTAGCTGTGTGGAGTGTGCAGGAATTTGGTTTTTTCTAACCTTTAGGCAAAACTCTGATTTTTGCAATTCTGCAGTAGTGACAGTTAGGTTACTGTGTAGTGACTTTCTTGAAAACTATTGTTAGGGTCACTGCTCAGAATCAACATTTATTTAGTTTTCGTAGGTTTATTCTGCTATGTACCACTCTTCTGTCCTGCTTATTTACATAATGCCAACTGCTTTTGGTTTTTTGTGTGATCTAGCAACCTTTAACTATTATTCTAAGACCAGAGTTTAGGTGAATGTCAACACTGTTAGGGCTCACGGTCCCTATAAGACTCCTGATTTAGGCTTCCATTTTTCCCCCCCATGAAACCATTATCACAGATCCCATGTGGATCAATGTAAATGCATCAGATCAATGTAAATGCTACCAGAAGCAGTGATCAAACAGATTAACTTGTGGTACATCTAGCTGTCATATAGCCACAAGAAAAGTCACTTTCGTGAACTGATCCCATGGAAAACTAAGTTAGTTGTTCTAAAAAAACCCTTAAAATAAAATCCACTGCTTAAAATCTTTGTATCTGACTTCATGATTGTTAGGTCTGACTTAAGGAAAAAAGCATGTGCCCAAGGGAGCAAAAAGAGCAGGAACACTAATCTTTAGTGCTTAGCCTGCCCTTATACTTAGATTACCCTTAGGCAGTGGTTCTTTTGGAGAACCAGTTCTGTCAGGAGGCTGTAATTTGTGAGCTGTTAAAAGTGGAGTGTATTTTAAGGAATGCAAACACATGCAGAAAGACAACTTTAATGTTCTTTTGATGTCAAGTCTGAGATGAGATTGAGATTTCTATTGCTCAGTTACTTTATTTTTGTCAATACTGAGCAAAAGGCAGTGTTTAAAGGTCTGCTTTATGTGCTAAATGTGCTTAGAGGACATGTTCATAGATAAGCTTCGTTGTTGAGCTTGTATCTATTTCAAATCCTGTTCCCTTGGTGTGGTTTCAATAGTAATGGAATCTGAACAGGTCGTCTTGACAGTGCTGCTTTTGAACTTTGGGCTTAAAAATGTGAATTAGGTAGGGTTGTGGGTAACAAGCTGACTGTTGAAACCGGGGTGAAACAGTTATTTTTGTCTTTTCAGAGTTGTGGGTCCAGGAGAGAACCCCAAGTTGTGTAACTTAACCCTTTTGCCACCCCTTTGAATAGCCTTTGGTTCACAAAAGCTTCTTAATTGTGCTGGAAAATCTCATACAGGAATTCTCCCTTAAGCAGATGAGTTCAATATCTCTTGATGTTAACTTACATAACTTTTTATAAATTTGCCAGTTATTTCATTGAAGTAGATTGCTGCTGAAGGAATACTGCTCTTCTGAAATGTTTGTCCTGATACTTTGATATGATGAAATCAAGAGCAGTGCAAAAGGAAATTGTGTGGTATTTAGTTTATCCATTGATTTACTCTATTATCCTTTCAATACAGTCCTTTCTTGAAGAATTGGATGGGTGGATTTTCAGGGACATTTTCATTCTTAGTTTCTAATCGGTGAAAATGTATTATTTAGGAAACTGACAAACAGCTTCAGAACATATTTAGGAATTTAGGAAAAAAAGTAGTTCTATTTAGCTTTAACTTAAAGTTGTGTCTTTTTTTTTCAGGGTCACGATGAAGAAGCTGTTGTGGATATGGGCAAAATCAGCTCTACTATCAATACAAATTTTGAGAAAGAAGAACTAGAGAGTAAGTTTGTGGTGGTTTTCTGTTAGCTTAACATGGATTTTTTGCCTAGAGATAAAAATGTATTTTCCATGCTAAAAGGAATCAGAAGTTTGTCTATCAAGAAATTCTAGGAGTAAAACTGGTGGAAGACAGAGATGAGCTGCTCTTGTGTTTTTGTCTCTATACATGCTAAATACTCACTGTTGTTCAAATCTGTCATAGAAAAAAATCTTAAATTTTTTTTTTTATTAAGCTTTCCAAGGAAAGCTTGCTTCTGAGATTGTAGGTTTGAAAAACTGATTGGTGTTGGTAAGTAATTTTCCAGCATTAATGATGTCAGGTTCTGCAGAATCAAAACTCAGGAAACAGGGGTCATGGGGGAGATGTTTGTTTTGTTTTCTGAAAGTTAAGTATCCTTGTGATTGTGGTCATGCACTTTAAATACCGAGTTTCAACAGATAAGAGCTTCTAGTTCCATAGTAAACTGTACATTCCACAATCTGCAGTCAGAGCATTATGGAATCCTGTTAGTGTTCATTATTTGACTCAGTTTCCTGCATTTAGCAATGAAAATAGCATTGATTTAGCTTCATCTAAGACACAATTTCTTTCTTACTTGAAAGGGAATTAGACTGGGGTGAAGATTCATGGATGGTATTTAATGCAGCCAGAGGAAAACCTAGGGAGGTCCAGTGTTAAAATCTTAGTTATTTACCTTTTACATAGAATGCTCTGAAGCTTAATTAACATTTGCAAAATGCTGTGAGACTATCAGCAGTTGACTCTTGCAGCTTCAGAACACCAGAGAGCCATTGTAGCAGCAGTTTCTAGCCGCGAAAAGTTGATGTTAGGTTGATGTCACATTTTCTCATACTGTCCTCTAACAAGGGACAGTTTAAAGTGATTAGAGTTGTTGCTGTTGCAGTCATACTCTTGCTCTGTTTCCTCCCTTCTGTTTCTGCTTTCTGTCTCATGCTAACACTTTCATTTGTCTGACTGTACTATAAGCTTGGTTAAGTCAGCAGAAAATGTAACAGTCCTGACAAAGGAAAAGAGTAAAGATCTCAGCAGTTGAGCACCCCAAACCAATCTGCCACTCAGATGGATGTGTGCCAGTGCTGGGCAGAGGAAGGAAGTATAAATATGATGCTGAGAGGTGTAGCAGTGGAGGCTGTGACAATGCCGGTTGGGGTTGAGCTGTGGTGAAACCACTACCTTGTCTGTTTGTGCAGTTAAATCTTCAGTGCAGATTTAAGATGCCACCTCCTTAATTTCCTTCTCTTGCTTTTCTCTGAGAGATGACCCAGAAAAAGCATGTGAATATTTTGCAGGGAGGCAGGGGTTAAGGGGAGGCAGGCATCCAGCTGGAGTAGTGTGCTGGGCAGCAGCCTGAGCAGCTGTAATGCCTCAGCCTCAGAGAAGGACATGGGAATGTGCAGCCAGATCACTTCCTCCCTCTTTCCTAGCACATTCGTAGGAGTGCTTCAGCTAGTACAGCGCAGCAGTTAGACAAGATACTGGGTGGGCAGGCACGAGGTTCAGGCTGCTTTAGGCCATTAAGCACTTGTATTGCTGCTGTGAAAAATATCCCTGTCTTACCCACAGCCAAAGAATAAATTAAGGTGAAGAGTTCTGTTTGAACAATTGAGTCAACGTAAACTGCTGTTGACCCACTGTGAGATGAGAACCCACTGTCCTTACCTTCCTCTTAGCTATGCAGCCTTACCTTTCCACTGACTACCTCTCACTCTCTTTGGAGTGGCCCAGTGTGTCTCAACTCAAGAGGTTCGCTATACAGAAGTTAAACAAATAGCTAATAAGAAGTATCTGACAAGAAAAATATTTTCCACTAGGATTATCACTTATCTGAAGCTTAATATAAGGCACACGTTTTCGCACGTAAGTAGGTATTATTATTGGCCCTTACATATATTTTCTAATATCTTATATATTTGTAAGAATTTGTTTGTTATTGGTAGAATCGGTAAAGGGAGGGACAGTCTGCTTTCTGACTTTTGTGAGTGGAAACTGTTCCAAGCTAAGAACAAGAAGTTTTTCCTTTCCCATTTGAAGGAGAAAGGTATGCAAGTGTGGTTGTTTATGACTCGTATAGTTATCTTCTCAGAGAGTCTTCAAATTCATGGTGTTTCAGAGGATAAATTTTTGTGAACTTACTGCTCTGTTTATGAGATGATTATTTATAAGCTATTATGATGAAAGTAGGTGTGTGGGATTTTTGAGACTTGTTTTTAATTCTGGTATTAAAATCTGAATAGGGGAGAAATTGAGTTGTTGGCTGCAAGCAGTAAAACAACTCCAGCTGGTATTATTTTTCATTTCTGACTTGTGAACATTTTCTTGTAGGCTTAGGAAGACCTGTACAAAACCATTAGGCTTTGCAAGTGTTTTTAAGACCTGAAATTGTTTCAGTCCAGTCTTCCAACATGTGTTTCTGTTGACTCAAAAAGGAGTTCTAGGAATTTGGAACCTTTCCAGAGGTTTGTCTATAGATTATTTTTTTTCCAGAGAGAGGGAGCAAGCAGTAAATTCAGTTCAACTATGATGTGAAGCACCAGACCTTTAAGAGCCAGCATAAACAGGTGATACTTAACTGCTCTGAAGTGTGTACAAACTAATGTTGATAGGTTTGATGCTATAGAAGACACAATTTTGCTACTAAAGCAAAGGTGTTTCTGTTGTTGTCAGTATTGGATAGTTGTATTTTCTGGGAATTGTGAGATGAAATGTTAATGGAAAGAGGGCCAGATGCTAAAGGGGAAAACAGATCTTGGATTTAGGACTTCTCAAGCTGTACATTCTATTTATGGTGGCTGGGAAAGTGTGGTACCTATCCAGAGTGACAGTGTTTGGGTTAGAAAGGTTGGGACAGGCTTCTAGTTTCATAACTCTCTTCCTGGAAAAGAGAAATGGTTAGAGATGGTAAACTGCAATTGTGGGCAGACTGTGTGTGTACTAAATAAAGGTACTGCACTTCACTGAAGCTGTAAGGCCTTACTTTGAAATAACAAATGTCAGTTTACAGAAGAGCTCAAAAGGGGAATAACATCTTAAAATAACATTTTAAGAGCACCTAATGTTCTTAACTTGTTGCCAGACTCTGTGAACTGCAATGAATGAGAGTTATAACAAAGTGAGGCAGGAGTTGGAAGTAAGGCAAGAATAGTAACGGCAGAAGTATTTCATGTGACCTTGTGAGAGGTATTTTCTGTTAAAGAACCATGTTCAAGGAAATCTTACTTAAAACTAAGTTAATATGTTTGATTTGATACTACCAGGACCTATCTTTTTAAATGTGTAGTTAATTTTCAACCTTGATTTGAGGATCCATTTAGTAGATACAGTGTAAGGAATACATTCTGTTACTCTTAGCAGGCTAGTTACAAGCATAGCAGAGATAAGGAGTTTACACATAACAGAAGTTTTGTTCCAGGAACAATCTGAGGTCACGAATGTGTGTCTCCGTAGACAAGTTTTCTGTGGCCTAAGTCCAAGTAGCAGCTTTCAAGAGCTAAGATGATTTAATAGTTACTCCATACTCACACTATCCTGTGGCAGGTGTAAGTAGTGTTTACATTTCAAGTAACCCTATTATCTCTTACACCTTCATGGTTTAGAGCCTTAATTTTTATTTAAGAGAAGAGCTGTGGTTTTCACTTAATTTTAGTTAACAAGGACAGGTAATTAAATAATCCTGTGATTTCCCCCTCTCCCATAAGCAAATATTGTATATGTAAGTGGAAAACTTGCCCTACAAGTGTTTTGCAATTTCAAGTGTTATGTGTAGTTAAAAATTGTTTTAGTATTATGAAAGGGATTTGGGGAACTAAAAATTTCTAGGGCAGCTTGTAGTAGAATGTATTGCTAAGATTTTTTTTTCAAGTGGCAGGTTTACTGTTACTCTGTTCTGTACTACTACTATTATTTATCTATTCTAGATGCATCTAAATTCCAACTGTTCAAAAACCATAAATAGTTCCTGTAAAATCTTTTAAGAAAATGAGTTGTACAGGAGCAGGTGACACAAGTAATGCAACAGGCCATTGTAGCTACTGGCACTTTAAGATTGTGCTTAGTGTTTGTTTTTATGTTCTGTAATGGGCTGTACTCATTTAAACAGGCAGTACAGAACAGGTTATGGTGCAGAATATGATGCTCACACTGAAAAAGAATGTTTGAACCCTTAAGAGACCCCTTATAGTCTAGAAAAGAACTGTATTAACAGGGGAAAATAAGAATTTTGAAATGCTTTTTCTCATGAATTTTCATCTTTTTATGTGGTTCAGAAGGAGAAAAATGTGAAACTGCTTCCGAAAACAAAAATAATTTAGGAGGACCATCAGTGATTCTTGCAGGCCACCTTTTATCCATCCTCTCTGGTGATATCTCTGAATTGAGAAGGTCTTGCCTGCTCCTTAGTTTGAGTTGGACCAAGAACAAGCGACAGGTACACCACAGCTAGTCAGGTGTATGAGACATGCACTCAGTCATATGCAGCATCAACATAATGTTCACTTTTACTCGTTATGCTAGAGGCTGGTGCAGGATAAATTATTTTGCCCATATCATTCAGAAATGATACAGAAATGTGCTCAGAACTTCTCTAGAAGTCACCAAAATTGAGGATGTTTTTCTAATACAATTATTAATACAATCTTAAGTGAATTTTGGAATTAGACCACATTGCTTACAGCAGCAGATGAAGATGGAAGCCATGCTTTTTAAAAGTGTTTGACATAAACTCTGTCCTAATGTTTTTTCCCAAAATTTATAATGAGAGTGTGTTTGTGACCCACTGATGAAGTTGGAAAATCTTCTTTGTCAGTTTCTTTTGCAGTACCTTACGAGCACAGTGTTACAAATGTGGAAGACTTGTGTCCTTATGGGGAGGGGTGGGGAGAGTGGGAACTAGATGATCTAGATGATCAGAGCAATGAAGATGAAGGACCTTGAGGGGAAGCTGTATGAGGAATGGCTGAGGTCACTTGGTCTGGTCAGCCTGG